ACGCCATCATTGACGATGAGTGAGTCCACAGTTGCCGAGCCGTTGGATCACACCCTCATAAATTCAATGTAAAGGATTCCATCATCAAAGCAGCTTGCAATGTAAACGTGGAAGTATACTCGTTGCGATACGGAGGTAGCCGCTCGCCAATGAAGACATTTGAACACGATCGCGGCGTTCTCGGCAGCCGCGCACTTTAAAATGTGATTTAAACCGGCGATAGTATCGACCAAACAGATTCTTGATTTCTGCAGCTTCCAAAATTCCCGGCGCCACCTTTCCATCGACGGGCTGCTAGTTATCTTTTGTCCCCATTCGCTTGTAACCATATGGAAATGATTCGGACTGGATTCCAAGATCCCGCTCAGTCGGCATCTTAGAAAGCTGGACGCGTCGTTGGTTGGCTCCACGATTGCGGGAATGCTTCACAGTCAGCTAGAGATACGTTGAGTCAGACGATCATTTTTTTTTGCGTTTGTTTCATTCGACATGAGCGTACGGCATGATTTGTCTCCCCTGAGGACAATTCAAATTAGTGCTAAAAGATGAAGAAGTAAAAATGGCCTGCTTACCGGTATTCCGTGTGAACTACATTTGCTCGGCAGGTCTTTTGTGTTTTCATGTACTTATCACACCACGATTGCACGAAATGTCGGGAATGTGAGCACTCGAACTCCCTCTGTCAATCAGTCCGGTCAATACAACGTGAGCCTTCTTTGAGACGTTTAGGAACTTTGAGATATCACGCACGTAGATGTGTTCGCACATGATGATTGCATTCCGTCTCGCGATATATGTAGGCCGAAGGAAGGAGCACCGTTACAATGAAACCATGAATTAAGGAAAATGGAGGTTACTGGTAGTTGGAGAGCTATTTAAAGATTTGACAAGAATGGAAGTTGGTGATTTATCTGGTCCTCTGGGTTGGCAAGTTGAGCTGCATAGACTGCCGCTGAGCCCGGCCGATAAAGCAACCAGTATTAACACACATAGTCTCGACCTGGCTGCAGACAACACCCACACCGGGTCGGTAAATTAAACACAGCCCGAGCAGCGGTGGAGGCTTGCGCTTCCACACTATTGGCCGGAGGATCCTGGGAAGCGTGAGAATGAGGTTGTCACAAGTGTTCGAGCTGCCTGATTGCGCATTTCAAAAGAAAGCCGGCATGTTCAAGGCGATCGAGTTATCGGCAATCTAGCCCGTAGAGACGCATCACATCTCGAAAAGAGGCATAGTCTGCGATGCATGTACGGCTCTAGTTGTAATGCGGTATCAATATGCGGGCGACGGTGCGCAACGGGGGGCGACGGTGCGCGACGGCGCACAACGGATGGTGTGTCTGAAGCGGCTACAAGGTCGCAAACAAAGAAATTTGGCGTAATGTGTAAGCTCTTTTTGTGGGGCAGAAATCGGGTAGGACGCCATCGGGAAGATATGACCCGTAATCCGCCTGGCAAGAAATAGAATAGCCTGCATTCGAGCCTGGTGCTAATCAAACGCTAGTCTGTACTAGTGATGCTAGTGGCTGTAGATGTGGGCGGGTAAAGAAAGTCAGCTAGGGCCTTCTCGGTTCCGTGTCTGATACTTCAGCCACTCCTTGCGAAAGCAACCACCCTTTGAACCCCCTCCAAAAGTGGCTACCGTTTATGCTAGCATGCCAGTTCACGATCTCACGATCTCCGCTCATGCTTGGTCCGTTCCTGCAAGAAGAGGGGCTCGTCTGATGGCGCATAGCCAATGGCGCCCGGGTCCGCCGATCGTGGATGGTTTAGAGGGCTTTTGAAAGAAAAGCGACGCCGCCGCAAGAAATTTTCGCCTTTACATTCTACACTCAGATTTTGACCAGGTAATTTCGCCAAACCTGGCTGCGCTTTGCACCTCTTACTGCTATCCTTTAAATGCGCCACTCGGACGTCGATGACATCATGAAAAGTCTGCCGGATATGCGTCACGCTACAAATCAAAAGTAAACAAAAAAGTATGCTCGGTTTCAAGTACCGCACCACAGTTGCGCGCTAATAAAACAATCCGTGATAGGTACTATAGCGCAACGGTCGTTCCACAGGATCTGTGTTAGATATGGATCGCCGTTCTCGATACAGCGGCGCGAGCCACGGTCAAATCGACACCGACAATGACTACGACGATAACGACTCCGGCAACAGGATCAGTGGCAATGACGATTACACTTACAATAATTACCGCAGAGACGTCGAAGGCGACGCCGCCAGCTCCTGATACATGACTTCGGCTGGAGAGGTAGCTGTCACGGTGCCATGGGTCAGAAAAGTGGCTGTTTTTCCTCGAAAAGAGTAGGAGTAGGCTTGAGATCGAGTAGGCGTTTTGCCAAGAACTGGTGGAGTGAAAGGCTGCCAGTCATCATCTCTTTGCGAGGGTTCGACTCTTGAAGTGGTAGCAAATTACTGTGCCATTGGCAAGCAGGACTACACCTGACTGTCTACTAATTTGGTAGGTGACGCCTGGCGGGGGCGGTAACAGCGGCGGGGGCGGAGCGTTGCGCTCCGCAGCGCCCTTGACCGAATGCTTCTGGCTTCATCAGCTCTTTCCATTTACGAGCACATGACAACGCCAGTAGCGCAGCCAGAACGAACAGGAAAGTAATGACATCGCTTTGGTCACTTGCAGACTTGCGTCTCCCCGCTATTCTTTCACAGGTCAAACAACCGCTGAGTACTGCTCTGTGGGTTCACAAGGAGAGCACACGCTACATTGTTGATCGGCTCCAGTACTTGAGAACGGACACATGGTATCGCTTTATGCCACCAACGTTTACATTAATTCGGAATCCATTTACAAGGAAATAAACAATAGATAAATTTTCAAGAATCTGATATAAATAAATAGGAGGTACAAGAAGCAACAGTGAAGACTGATCCGGCTATAGAACATTTTAACGCACCTTGTGCATTTTGAAAGGAGAGATAGATGCTATAGGAGAAAACCATGAGTGCTAAAAGTGTCAAATGGTAAAATCTCACGGGAACCGCGGACCAAAACGTTTCCATTGATGACGTTTGCTCCTCTAATGCTGTTCGTTGTGGTAGCACGTCCATCATCTTCAAAGGCTATGAGGTATGTTTCGTTGCACATTTCTTATCGGTTAACTTGTGTTTTGATAGTTTTAAACGCCTCAAAAGTCCTTCTGAACTCCTTCCAGAATATGCATGTTGATCCGTAGCGAGCTCGTGGCCGTGGCTGACTGGCGCAAGAACCCAATTGTTTTGTGGAACAAGTGGCGGAGTAGCTTCTCATCGATTTCCCCGTGCATGATCGGATCTTCAAATGCGGCTGACAAGACAAGAATATTGCCGCATTGAGCGCGTGTGGTGCCAAACAAGCATGTAATGATGGGACGCTTCTCGCCGAGGCCGTGTAAAGCCCTTGTGCTCTCTATAAGCGCCCTGATGGCTTGCCGGGCGCGTGTAAGAAGGAGCGCATCAATTTTAACACCTGCTTCAAAAAGGGCCGATACGTCACACTCGGGTTTCACAGTACTTCGCACGAAGTCTGGCGGATAGTATGTCTGAGGCAGAAAGATCCTTCTCTTTGAAGGCGAAACTCCAATGAACCTATCTCATTCGAGAACCTGGATCGCAGATCAAGTAAACATCTCGGAACAGTGCTAGTTTTTGCTTTTTGTCTGGGTGTCAAGACGACTCCGCAGGTAAGTCTGACCGAGATAACTGTCGAGAACAGATTGAGGAAAGCCCTCGAGTAGATTCATTTTGGGATGCGGAATATCGTTCTTATAGGACAAGGGTCCTGAAGGTGGCGCCGGACACTCAGCGAGTATATCGCTTTTCAATTGCGAACAGGTCCAAAATGCCAACGAAATATGGTAATATGTAGCATCTTTGGTAAGCTCTTGCGTGTTCCGAAACTTTTGAGCTTTCGAGGCTTGGTCTCATAATCATCTGGAGCTTCTGACTGGCAGTGGCTATGAAAGTAAGCTCTCCAAAGGCCGCCCGAGTTGACCTTGATAGAGGCCAGCAAGAACGTTTGCGTAAACGTTTTTTCATGTTTTTGAAAAAGCCATGATGATTACCAAAAATGTCGGTTGCAAGAGAAAAGTATTCTAGGCCATACCTAAGCATATTCAGCGACTGCCAGGGTTGCTGCAGGCAGAAATTATTCTCCGCAGAGAATAAGGGTCATATGCAGTCGTCCCAGCTAATAGAGGGCAGCATATAGGACCAAGACAGTCTCACTTTGGAAAAAGTGGCCCACAGTGTGACGAGTTTGAGGCTTCCGTTGCCGAGAGTTGATGGAGGAGACATTTGATTGTGGCTTGTTTGTTTCCTTTTTCGGCTGACTAGCCCTACACGCATCTTGCAGCAGAACATGGAGTTTTCACCCTTACATTGCAGTGCAAACGGCTTCATGGGTTCCATTTACCAGCGGCGCACAATTTCGATATGAATGTAACTCCTACGATTCTGCCTTGGCTCGGACCATGACGACGATGGACAAATGTGCGATCACGTGCGTGGCCCAGCCCCTCACTTTGCCCCGCGAAAATCAGAACTTGGCTGCCAGAATTGGGCAGCGACGAAAAAAGCCATCATTATGGCACAAACGACTGGACTACACATACATATGACCAAGTGACAGCAGAAACTGATTTTTGACGGCGAAGTTGACAGCTATCATATGCCGCACAATGGTGCGACCTTCTGGCTTTCCATGAAAGAACGCGCTGACGATAAGAACAGGCCTTCACACCGGAACCATTAGACGGAAACGAGAGCATTCCCTGGAAGAAAGCACAAGACTTCACCATCGTGCCCGGAATACTTGAGGGTAATGGGCTCATGATATTTTGGATGGACGCAACTATCACGCGGATGGGCGGGGACGAGACGCAGCCCCCCGTTCCCTATCGAACCGGAAAAGCTACATTTGAGGTTGGCGAGAAGCTGTACGTTTTTGAGGGCAAGGTCTATCAACAATCATAAAGCGATGAAATTCAAATACTCTATCACGTATTGTTAGCGTCCAACAACGGCTTGAGCTTTGTCACAACCTCAACTAGCGCAACGCAAACATTAAGAGTGCTATGCTTTTCCGTAATTGACAAGCATACACAATCGGTGCCGTTACCACTATACTTTTCCAGCTGCCGGGTCTGACAATTTTGAGTATACTCCCAGACTCTTTTACCGAGAACCCTGGTTATAGGACCTTCCGCCTGGCGCCTGAGGCCGATACCCGTTGGATCACAAGTTAACATGATCTTATCGTCGACGGAGAGTGTCTCGCCCGGGAAGTTCACCACGATATTGAACAGCGCATCCGCAAGGCTCTTTGCGGTGGGTAAGTCAAGGGGAAATGATACTACACAATCAAGGGCAGGATTGGCGGGAAAGATGATTGTGATATCTCGACCTTCTGCACAAGCAGTCGCGTTGGCAAATTGCTCGCCGAAACCAGCGGTTATGGCTTGCCTGGACCATTTCCAATGAACCGCCTTGACCTCGCCTCGTATCTCTGGGACAATCGGTAGTCGTTTCTGAGCTTTCTCCACGTTTGCCGATGTAGCATAGTCAAGAGACCCGTGTGTTTGCTTCTGCTTCTGCTCCTGAGTTTTGGTCTCGACTTCTGTGCGCGACTATTAGCTAAAGAGCGTCGAAAGGACAGCATGACGGTATGTAGTAGCTACCCAACAGTTCCGCCGCACGTTTGAGCGGGTAGTCGTTCGCTGCCTTCTTGAGGAAGTCATGCAGTTTCGAAATATCATCAACCACCATACGCTTAATACGGTCGCCTCCAATAGCGTAGGTGCAGAGACGCTGTATGAGGTGACCGCATTCTCCCTCCACACGACTTTTGAAGTTAATGTACTTGTTCGCTCTCCATATTGCGCCCTTACTTGAGGAGGCAGAGGTCAATTTCGCTCTTTGCACTGTCCTTATTCTGCGCTCACTCAATCTGCCATTATTTTCGATCACATTGTTAGCTGTAGCCAAGAGAAGCTCGATGATCTCTTTTGCGGACTTTGTCGATTTTTTCGATTTTTTCGATCCGCCCATGGCGATTGATCGAGAACGAAAGACGATAACGTAGAATAGGGGAGGATAGTGGACGATGGTGCGCGACGGGGGGCGATGGTGCAGGAAGGGGAACAATGGTGGACGCGATTGCGGCCGATGTGGTTGAGGAGAAATAGTGGTGGGCAACGATGCACGAATGAAGGCAATAGTTAGTGCGCGACGGTGGGCGACGGGCGGCGATGGTGGGCGACGGGTGGGCGAAGGGGTGACGTGGGGCGGCATGGTGGGCGACGGGGGGGTGGGCAACATGGTGCCACGACAAAATGGCTATGGCGAGGCGTCGACAGGGTCTGTCAGTACCTGTTCCCCTGGTCATTTTCTATACCTAATCAGGAATCTTTCTCTCCCTAAACGAGGAGCTCTTTGACAGATATACACTTGCTGTTTACTCGATAACAAAGCAAGAAGCCGCTCTAGCCGATTGCAACGTCCAGCTCTTACGAGATGTGATATAGCTTGCACCTCTACAAGCTACACACGGAACTACAATGAGTTTCTTGTTCACGTCAAGCTCACTGACAACTTCACCCCACACCTCCTCTGATCCTTGCTCAGTGGTGTCGTAGTGCATGGCTTTACCACTGCTCGGCCTGAACAAAGCTGGCCGCGTTGTGGCCTGGAGCGTCGTTATGGCTAGTAACATTTCTGTCGAGGAAGCAAGCGGCTTGCCATGACTACCCTCAGTGCCTGCAGACGATCAAGTCCGCCCCTGCTTGGTTGGCATGCAAAGTGATCCGACCCCTAACTTGGAACAGTTCGTCGTAGCCGGTTTGAGTATGCTTAGCAAATGAGACTGATGCGGTCGGGATCAGTCGTGGTACCATGGACCACTAGTCATGTCTTTTTTTCTACCATCAATAAGAAGTGCGTTGCAGAACCGACTCTTTTATACCAAAGTGCATTGTTGCGCGTTCCTGCGGCTACCACGTCTACCGCCGTGAATAGCATCACACATACTGTACACGTTCCCAATAGGCCATCGCAACTTCCTGATTGCCGTTCTTTGCGCCAATCACACCTTCTTCACCACCATTCTCGTACTGTCCACGACTCCTGAGCTAAGACAGCATTCGCAATCATCTCCGTGCACGTCTTAACAGTGAATGCTAGAGCCTACCACGAGGTTGACCCCGCCAACCCTATCAGCGTGTGTGGCATACGGACTGGTAAGCAACCTTGCCGGCCTGTTTGCGCTCTACGCGCTCTTCCCCTAAGCATAACATGCTGGACTGACCCATAATCTAGACTTTCCCCGTCGTGCGGATTCACTCAAGCAAGGCCGCAGTTTAGAAAACCTCGGCTGGAGACTCTGGCAGAAAGCACAGCCAGTCGACAACACAAGCGGACTCGGCGCCATCACTGCCACCCACACTTCGCCTCCCCAAGAGTATACTCAACTCTCTAGCAGCGTTGACTCGCTTGTTGATGAGGATACCACCAAACTTACTTCCAACTCGGCGCCTCTTGAGATTTTGCGGCCCCGAATACGTCGTCTGGACTCGACTAGCAACCCCAGTAGACGTGACCGCCACATCAGTTCCGACGACTTCAAACAGATGCCCGTCCCCATTGTCAACGATACTGATTCTCTTTCCGCACCCACTGCTACCTTTCCCACCACTACTCTGAAGGATGAGATGGCTCCCGTCGTCCACGACCGAATCGTGGCCGGGATCGTCACCCAGAAGAAGCCACTGGCCAAGTTTGCTCTTGGCGGTCCCTGCTCTTCTAGCGGAAAGGCCATGAGCGTCGAGTTTTCCAGGCCCAGCTTTGTGCTTCCTCCCAAGAAGGCCATGCTTCAGGTTCATGGCGGTTCCGAGTCTGCCTCTACCAAGGGCTCTCTTCAACCCGCCGAGGACCTCGCCACACAGAAGAAACAGCCTGTCATCCCCACAAGCCGCAACGCCCCACTCGAAGCCGAAAGCGCAATCAACTCAGACACCGAGGACGGCCATGTTGATGAGAGCGCCATTGATGACGATGACGACTCCTCTGATTGGGAAGATGCTACGGACCGCGGCAGGTCGAGTGTAGAGGACATGTTCTCCCAGCGCGTCGAGCCTCAGGCCAACCTGGCCTCCGGCCCGTCCCTCATTACATTCATGCTTGCTCAGGAGCGCCAGAAGAACCCCAGCAGCCAGGCTCCTCGCTCTACCTCTGTCATCATCCGAGCGGGCGCTAAACGAAAAGCCCCAACTATGGGTGCTCTCACCGATGTTTACTATCAGGGGCCGCTAATGTTGAAGGGTCTGCGTTCTTCCAAGTCTCGACCTCGCTCGAGCGCCCAGCCTATTATCGCCCCTACCAACCACGTCCACGCGCAGGCAGCTTTGTCACCGCGAACAACTCGCCGCAACATGGTCGCTACCGAGATAACTGAGTCTCTTCGCCGTCATCTTCTCTGGGAGAACCAGCAGAAGACTTCGACTGCCAAAGCTGTTCTCAAGCGTCGTCATACCTCCCACAATGTGGCCAACCTGAATCAGTCTCCAGAAAAGCCATGTCTGAAGCGGAGTGAAGACGCTAACGCCAGCAGCTGGAATCAGTATTTCAACAAGGACACCGTTGACGGCTACCATTCCAAAGGCTGGTGATGGCCATGTACATAGTTTTGAAAGCCACGCAAAGAGCAGATCTCAGCGGTGGATGCTTCATCAAGTAAATACACCGGTATCAACAGCCCTCTTCAACACAGATCGGTCATTGTCAATTAGTCCTTTTCCTCCTAAATCTACAGTGTGTCAGAATCCCCAGACCTGCCAACTCTTTTCCATCGCACCTCTCGCCATTTCACGCTTGAAAATTTACATTTTACAAACCACTGTCTTAATCAACCTCCAAAACTAACCGCCAACATCTTTGTAGCTCGCCATGGCGGCCGCTGACAATGCACCGCCTCCCCAACACAACAACGACTTTCCGACCCGTCCATACCTGCCTCCGATCTGATGCTTCGCAAGACGCAATACCTTCCTACTTCTCGTCGCGTTTTTATCGTGTGTTGTATGGTACAGCGTGGATAATGCCAAGAAGCAGGAAAGCATTGTGCAATCGCATGGAAAAGGCCCAGGCGGGAAGCCCTTGCCCGTCGCGAAGAAGACCAAAGGCGATGGCGAGCTTGAAACCCATTTTGCCAGAAATGCCTTTCGCTATCTGGCTGCAGTCAATTTTTATCTCCTACCTTGCGGCTGGCGCTTTCATGTTCGACCATGCGTTCTATCATGACAGCCCTTACAGTGGTCTAAGGACGGTCTTACTTGGGCTTGTGAGTGGACTGTAGTCCACATTATCGGCGCCAATCTTTTCTACCTCTATATTATATCATTTTCTCTCTCTTTGACTGGAAAGAGGGTCCCAACGCTGCCCACCTTTTGATCTGGGTACTAGGCCTAGTAGGCGAGCTCATTCTCTTCTCAACAACCTTCACGACTGCCGCCGCATGCCGCCTTGCCAACCATGAATCGCAAACGGGACAGACAAACTGCTTCGATCGCTGGGGCGATTTTGATACAGCAGGGCCGAATGGACGCGACAAATACTCTCGCCGGTCTCGAGGGCGGACCATGCCAAACGCAGCCAAGAACTCGGCGCCGATTTCACGTAAAGACGAAAATGCCGCGTTTTATCAACCACAAAAGCTTCCCCACCGGGCAGATCCAAATCCGCACCGCATCGCAGGCTCGATATCCCTGAGGATCAACTCCTGCCATCAGAGTCTTTGCGCGGCTGCGAGGCTGTACCGCAAGAGGGAGGACATACGTCGGTTCGAACACGCACAGCTCAGGTTCATACTGTTATATAATTCGCTTAAACGGCTTAGCCGAGGTCCAATCGACTCATTACTAGATCCATCCAAAAGAACACTTCGCGCCCAGATAGAAAACCATCTAGACGATGTCCAGTCTGCCGTAATGTACGGTATGTAACAAGCATTTCAACCTTTCATGCCAGGAGGCTAACTTGGCAATATTGCAGCTCTCGACTTAGCCAAAGTTTCCGTTCTTCCCGAGAACCGTTCCGATTATTCCTGTTTTTCCAATCGAGTCGTCACTCACGCGGCTAGAAGAATCTACTTAACAATTACTACTTTACACTCCAGAAGGGCTCGGGCGTCGAAAGGCTGCGCACCGAAAAAGCACGGGAGCCCCAGGTTTGACCGTGAGGTGGATGAGTTCATCCGGGCCGAATTTCCTTACCTAAGGCCGACAATCGCTACGAAGGAGCCGTGGTGGCGTGAGCTGGTTTATAATTGGCTCGTCTGCCCTCAAACAGTCCATGACACCGCGTCAGCTCTAGCTTTTTCACATCTCGCCCGTAAAGCGCCGTCTCATATTCCTATACCAAGCAAAAATAAGCAAATCCGTCATCTAGCTTGATTTTGTAAAGCCTGGAGCCTCTCAGAGCTACCTCGGGCCTGTCTGCCTGTGGCGTCGCGAGCATCATCTCCGCTTCAGGCTCCGTAGTCTAGACAGGGCCTTTTCCTGCCTCATGCCACAAATTGCCATCCACGGTATCCACCCTTTTGGACGCTTCGGGTGTATGGTATTCCTTCACCTTGCACGCTCGTCCAGGCTCGCGCCGTAGCTTGCGGTCGGCGGTGCCTTCAACGCGGTACGATGAACCCGGAAGCATTGTCTGTCTCCGTTGTTGACCCCTACATCTATAAAATTCGACAGCCTAATGTGATTCCTGCTCGACGAGACGGAGCTGGGTTGCGCGACGCCCAACTTGGCTCCGCTTCCAATTCTCGCCTCCGCGGACAACCGCTGGCGCTGGGTTGCCTGGGAAGCTATCTCGCACTTTCACATATACCGCGATGAACATGAGCGGGTGATCCCTACCACCAAACCTCGGAGCACTGCCGGTTGGCAACGGATTGACCCGAAAATGCAGATCATCTCTTTCTCCTGAATGCCATGTATGATCGCCAGGCAGGCAAGCTAGTGAACGAGAACGAGGTTGAGGCTGCGAAAAACCGTCTTCGCCAGATAACACCGTCTTCGCCTCTGGGATGGTAACCCGCCATAATAGGAACGAGGGCCGGTGGGAGAACGCAGAGAAGCTCGAGGTACAGGTGGTGGTTTGATTTGATTTGATTATTTACGTCTGTTGGCGCCCTAGAGTAGGCTTTTAGACGTGCTATCGAGCCTTCTACGGATAAACGTGCAGGCGTACCCGCTTAGTAGGCCCCCACAGGGCGGCGCGCGCCCATGTTCTCACTGGTTGCCCCTGGAATACTCTCCCTGCCATCATCCTCCAACTGTAGCAGTGTCGCGCCCAATGGCATGTATCTGTCT